CATTGTGTGTAAAATTCAATATTAAATACATATTAGTTTTAAACTAATTAATATATTTCACATTTTATAAATTTAGGTGTTGTGGTTCCTCGCAATTTTCGTTTGTTGGAAGAATTGGAGCAAGGTCAAAAAGGAGTTGGTGATGGTACAATTAGTTGGGGATTAGAAGATGATAGTGATATGTCATTGTCACGTTGGACTGGAATGATAATAGGTCCACCTCGAGTAAGTTTGATTTTTAAATTGTTACAAAATTATTAATCACACACAAAATTTTATTATGAATATTTTAAATGTAAATTGTTTTTATGCATTTTATTTAACAATTTTGTTGAAAAATTTCTCTCTGAATTAAATAAATATAAACTTTTTCACTAATTAATCTTAATAATTTTTTATCTTATAATTTATGAATGAAAAATTTTAGTAATTTAAGTCTTGTTTTGTATGTTGTAAAAATGAAGTAATCAGACTATGGAGTTATGATTATTGATCAACTCTGAATTAATAAGCAAGTTAAATTTCAAAAAAATTATTTAAATCAATATCATTTCTACAACATTGATGATCAATTATATTTAGATTCAGGAAACAAATAACTATTTTTCTGAATGATTTTCATTAGATATGCTCTAGGAATCCAAATTTTTTATTATCACAATAAAAATTATAAACATAAAATGTTTCAAATGGAAAATAAAAATTAAAAATATAAAATTATTTTTGTATTCCATAATTTAAAACAATTGTTTGATGTTGAAAATAAATAAAAAAATTGAAGCTTTTTTACAGTTAATAAAAAAATTTTTTGATTGAATTTGTTTTATAATAAAGCTGAAATCATTATTTTCATATCAAGTATTTATAGTTTATTAATAAACATTAAAGTGATGATTTAAAAATGTATTAATATTTTCTAGACACCATATGAAAATAGAATATATAGTTTAAGGATTGTTTGTGGTCCACATTATCCTGATGAACCACCTAATGTTAAATTTATTTCAAAAATAAAAATAAATGGTGCAAATGAAACTAATGGAGTAGTAAGTATAAATATTTAAGTATATTCTAATTTGTATTATTAGTTTTAAGTCAACATAAAATGTATAAAATGATCTATGAAAAATGTTTAAAGTAAAATATAGATTTTAAATGAAAATTTTTCTCTGATTTAATAATAATATAATAAAAATTTAAATTTATTGCTAGTTTCTGAGCAAATGTGATTTAGGCTATTGTTTCTCTATTCTGTATCTATAATAAAAATTATGTATAAGCGAACTGCACTTAAGATTATATTGGAATTTGTGTAAAAATTACTGATTTGTCATGAAGCCTGGAAGTAGAACAAATTATCAAAACATTTTTAATTTTATTTAGAAAATTTTAAAAATAATTTAAAGTAAAAGTAACATGTGTATTTCTGAATACATATTACTGTTTGAACTCAGGTTGAATAATTAATACACATAATTCAGAATATATCTACTTGCATCATTTTTTATTTATATTAATTTTTCTTAGGTGAACTATACTATTTTTTTTTAGTGCCGTTTAGCATCAGGTTTAGGGCTTGGTGGCAGACTTTGTCATGCAAGTTAATCATTTCAAGGTTATTGGACACAAGATGCTTACTACTTTACTGAAAGTAGCAAACATAAAAAATTCTCATTTGTGCTAGTAAATGTGTTGGATAATAACAACAATAAATGATGCAAATCAATAAATTTTTAATTTCCTATATTAATTATTTATTTTCATTTCAAGCAACAAAATCCATTAAGGAATTTGATAATTTTTTTATAATTATTTTGATTTTATTTAAAAAATTGTAAACTTTTTATAATAATGATAGTAATAACCAAAATAGTTATATAGAACAGTTATCATCATCATCAACTTTTATTTGTAATAAGGCAATAGTCTGTTACAAAGGGTGAATAATGATAACAAACAGTTATTTTTTTAATATCAGAACCAACATAGTCTAATATATCATGCAGTCATATTCAATTTTTTAATATATTTATTTATTCTAAACTGAGTACTACTATTCTATGTTACATTCAAAAGCTTTTTGCCTTAGATTTATCCAATTATACCATGCAACTTATTGTATTGTTGATATTAGTGTAGGGTAATTTTCCTTCCTATGTTTATTAATAGCTGTAATTAATTAGTTATTATTGGAATAAAATAAATTTATGAGCATAATTATATATTCTATAAATTTCATCGATCTTAGCTGCATGGAAAACCTCATAGCTCTTTCATTGTTACATTTAGATAAAAATTGCAGGTCAAACCCCTGTGCCACCTCATTAGCATCTCTACAACCACAAAACATGTTGAATTTCGAGATTATATTATGACATCTTGGACAGATACTCTTGGAAAACACAAGGAATGTATTATTGATTATTATAAATTCATTATTTAATCTGAGTTATATGAAAAATCTTTTAACATTGAAAGCTAGATTTGTTAACATATAGTTGTTGTTGTATGGGTATTCTAGAATTATTTTATACCACTCGGGTTTCTTCCTATTATGTATTTCTTCTATATCCTGTGCTAAGGAGATTTCTAAGACATTTTGTATTAATTGTTGGCTAACTTGCTCATTTATCTCAGGTAGATTCATAAATATTTTTATAGAAAACCCATATAGGTTAAGTATTTTTGACAATTGAGTTACCCAGTTTCTGCTTTGCTCTTTGACCATAGAATTCCTATATAATTTATTTAATAATCTCACCGATAGATTCTCAGCATTTTTTAAATTAAACAAAAATGTAAATCTCTTCATTAATTAAGATTGCACTTAATTTAAACCTGCTTAGTTCCAATCTGAAATCACTACCTGGTATGTTGTACTCCAATGAGAAAATTCTACATATGAATTTGTTTTGAATTATATCAATTTTTTGGAAATTGTTAAGGCTCCAAATTGGTACCGCATAACCAATCAAATTTACAATCAAGGAGTTAAAAAGACAAAGTGCTGTGGCACTGCAATCTTTGGCTGTGTCTTGGGATACTCAAATATTTTACATTTTTGATACTAAATTAACTTCTGAAGTATAATTTTTTATTGTTTTTATATTTTTCAATATATTGAAAAATATAAAAACAATAACGAAGACCATTGTATCGTTAAAAATTATTTTTTTATTTTGTACGAACAAAATAAAAAAATAATTTTTAACGATACAATGGTCTTCGTTAGGCTTAACATCGATGAAAATTCAACGCGAAGAGACACGCAACGGAGAAAAATGTCAAGATGGGATAAATTAATATATTTTTTCGTATATAATCGATTATCCGAAACATCGATCTTCCGAACAACCCCAGTCCCCAATTGATTCAGATAATCAATGCTCTACTGTATATGAATTTTACTTTAATTAATACGAAATGGATTTCTATGAATGTTTAAAATATGAAACAAATAAATCTAAATGATAATATGTTAATCTTAGTTCCAATTTCGTTTGCAAAATGACAAAGTATAACTTTCATTTATTAATATAATAAATCTTTAAAAACGTAACATTAATCAGTCAATAAAACCATTTTATCAAATTTTTTATTCAGTATGTAAAAAAGAGTTGCCATCTGTACAGTGTACAATAATGTCTATCTGATAATAGGGTTTTATTATGATAATTTCATAAATATACCTTATTCTGAAAATAACCCTGGAAGAAAACAATTTGCAATAACTATTTTTATTATACATATTGCCTTTTCATTGATATTTTTTGTCTTTATTTGCTAGTAAATTTTGAAATTTTTTAAATTGGCTACTACCATATATTCTCAATTATAAGGCACACCTTTGTCATATTTTTTGAGATCACTAACTGCTATACTTTGACCAACTGATAAAATAAAATACTCAAATTGATGTGCAAAGAAAATTCGTACAAATAAACGTTCTGTTGAAATGCCATTTTGCTTCTACTTGTACAGAATGCAATAAAATGTATTAATGTAGTACCTGTAGTTTCCATCTAGTGAACTGTCTAGAACTGAAACTGTTTTGGCATAGGGAGTCATGACCACTTGAGGAGTGGACTAAAAATTTTAGACAGTTACAAAAATTTGGAAAAACTAAGGTAGCATATGAAATAAGTATGGTATATAAAGGAATGTGTTAAATAATTGTTAATAATAATTTGCTAATGTTTGCTATGTTGAAATTGTATGAAAAAAATAAAGTTTAGCTTATGCTCATTAAGAGGTTTGTTTAGCATCATATTTTATAAGGGAGAGTTGTAAAAACTTCATTGCTAAATGGAGACTAAAAATTTTTTTGTTGTAAGAAGGGATTGCAGATAAAAAGTTCATGAGATTCTGACATAGGGCAAACCTTGTTAATATTTCTATGGAAAAAGTGCATAAGTATAAAGGATTAAGATAGATGTACAATAATTTTAGTGAAGTATGATAATTTTAAGGGGCAGATACAATGATTTTATCCTGTAAGGTTGTCAACTTTGCATTGTCTTGAGGTAGGGAAGATCATGTCTGGACAAGGGAGAACTGGAAAAGTAAGAACCCTTTTCTGTAAGAGAATCTACATACTGTAAGTGAGAAAAATTTATAATTTCACTAACATTTTTTATACTTCTACGGTATCATCTGCAAGTGCAAGAAAAGAGTCAATACAATACCAAAAGAAAATAGAACAAATTTCAGTTTTCTTAACAATTTTTTAAAATGTAGAATAAGTGAATGTCCATCTGTGNTCAATTTTCTGAATCAATTGGGGACTGGGGTTGTTCAGATAACCGATTATGTACGAAAAAATATATTAACCTATCCCATGTTGAAATTTTTCTCCATTGCATGTCGCTTCACATTGAATTTTTGTTGATGTTAATTAAGCCTAACAAAAATTTTTTTTAAATAATAATTGTCGCTATTGTATCGTTAAAAATTAGAAAATTAAGCTTCGTTTAAATACTGGCTTTCTTTCATAGTCGAGCCACTGTTGCCAGCTAAAACACATAAAAGTACTATTAAAGTATCCAAGACATAGCCAAATATTGTAGTGCCATATTACTAGCGGACATTTGAATTTGCTGACTAGAACAGTTGGTTAACTGATGTGACAGTTAATCGGGGGTCGGATAATCGATGCTCTACTGTATATCTCCACCAATTTAATTTTCCTGCACAAAGCCACGGCTGTAGGCGCAATTATCACAATATCATCTGCATAGGCAATCAAATGCACAACCTGATCACCAATTATGAACCCATCGTCATCATTTTTAAAACATTTATTAATATCAAATGTGTAAAAGTTAAATAGGTGAGGAGACCATGGATCACCCTGTAGTAATCCTCTGCTTGAATCAAAAGATGGCCATTGAATAAATTCTTGTTTAATAATTGATTTATAATGACCAAATAGTAACCCTATAATGTTTATTAAATGTTCACTTGCTTGGTAATGCATCAATTTAATTTGTAAATCTGCAATACTAACAGAGTCATATGCTTTTTTTAAATCTAAGAATAATGCAAAAACCTTCTGCTTTTTTTAGAAAGTTGAATCTGAATAATTGCAGTAAGTACAAAGAGAGCCAGTTGGGTGCCTCTATTTTTGATGAAAACGTATTGAGTTTCATTTCTAAAATCATTTATATCAATTCAGTTATTAAATTTGGATAATAATACGGCTGTAAAAACTTTACGTAGCCCTGATAATAACACAATAGGCCAATAGTTAGTTGATAATTTTCTATCTCCTTGTTTAAATAACATAACAAATATTACCTCATTCCATACTTTTGGATAACTCCACAATTATAGAAACCATTAAATTTTCTTGACAGATAATTAGCTATTTCTATAGGAAAATCTTTAATTATATAATTAGGAATTGAATCAGCCCCAGGAGCTGTATTTTCTTTTAGATTTTTGATGCAATAATGTACCTCTTTTATTTTAAACTCTTCCTCTTGGGGGAATTCTTGAGGTACATTATCATCTATATTTCTTAAACTACTTTTGCTCTTGTATACAT